AGTAGAATTCTATATCTTTCTAATGATACCAATTTCTTACGAATCGCTGAAGAATTCAAGGAGATATTCATATTTGAAATGGCCACTCTAGAACCCCCATATTAAGGAAGTAAACGTTGTAGAACTATTTTATTAAACGACTATAACTCGGAAAATATCGCACAGATTTAAATGAAACTTTTTGCAGATGATTGAGAATAAATGTATCTATCCAATTATCAAAATTTTGTGCTTATGCCACGCCCCTTTTCTTGAGATTTAAAGAAATATGTTGTTACTTTAATTTCTTGACAACAAATTGTCATGTCCTGATTATTGTAGATGTCATTGTAAACTAGAATTCAAAAGCTTTCCAATGATACCGATTTCATCAACATCTACTTGCAAATCATGGAGCAAATCTTATTTGAACTAACGACTCTTGAGTCTAACGCCCACTTCGAACATGTTTCAAACATTTCTTTAAATGTCTATATCTCGAAAATTATAGCTCGGATTAGGATGAAATCTTTTGCATTTGATAGATTTTAAATTCAGCATTTAGTTGGTGTTAATAATTAGTAACCTTTGTCACGCCTACTTTAGGAAATTTTATGAAAAATGTTTGTTAGTACAAATAACGTGAATATAATAAACGGAGATTATAGTTGGGTATACAAGTTAAACTAGAATTTAATAGCTTTCCAATGGCACCAATATCATCCAAATCGATTAGAAACTTATGGAGAAATTCTTAATTGAACTAACCACTCTTGAATTCAACGCCCACTTTAACAGGTTTCAAACTTTTCTTTCAATGCTTGTAACTTAAGAAATATAGCATGAATTAAAATGCAGTATTTGGGCATGTGGTAGATTTTGAATTCATCTATCTAATAGTAAGAATAATTAACGCCCCTTGCCACGCCTACTTTATGAAATTTCATAAACAAAATTTAAAACAGTAATATTTTTAAAGAAAACTAACGGTGACGATAATTTTGGAACAGAATGAAAAATAGAATTCAAAAACATGTAAACGATATCAATTTGATCCTAATCGCTGCACATTTATTCCATTTAAAGTAAAAGTTTTGGACCATTTTTAAAGGAAGTACATGTTAAAGGAATATTTTACTTTAAATGACCATAATTTTAAAACTGTAGCTTGGATTAGAAGGAAACTTTCGGAATATGATAGATAAACAGTCTTCCCTACCGATTTAGGAAAAACTTTACAAAACGTAGTGTAAATCTTAACACCCATAAGTAGGGTAACCTTACCCAAACCCTATTTCAAAAATGTGTTAATTTCTTTGAAAAGATAAATCAAAAGAAATTTAAAAAATGTTAAGTTGCAAATCATGTTTTAAGATTTTTACCTGTTAACACTTTTCTCTTTCGATTTTATCAATGGAAAATACAAAATAAACATACACAACAAAAACAATGGAAAAACCAGCAACAGTAGCAGTTATAATTTTCGAGTTAAAACCACAATACAAATCATCAGTTAACGCTTTTTTTACAATAATTGTAACATTTCTTTACATTTTCAATATCGACTTAAAAAACAAACTCAAATGAAAACTTTGTAAACAACAAATAACATCTACTAAAGTGGAAAATTTTCTTTGTTGTATATGATTTCTGTTTAACATCCGGTATCTGGCAACTGAAAGTGGTTTTTCCGGTATAACATTTATTTATGAATTTATTTATTTTTATTTTTTAACATCATTACGTGAAAATTACAGCTTCAAAGAAAAGTAAAAGCGTTTTGTAAGTTTTTCTTTTATTTTGCTTTGAATTTCTGTAATTTTTCTAATACACACACACAACAACAACAATTGGGCATCTTGTTCACTGACATTGAATTTATTTTTATTTTTCAATGACAACCAGTTGCTGTGGGAATCATTTGTAAGATTGTGGTATATTGAATCACCTGCATATTATTGTAATCACACAGAAGTTGTTGGCATTCCAAGCTGTAAGGACGTTTTTCTATAGTTTTTTGGTGAACATTTTTTAAAAGTTTCAGTTTAAAGTTTTAAAAAGGAAAGAGCAATTTGAAATAAAAGTAATTTTAAAGCAAGTGTTGTGATTTTTTTATAAGTGTATAAAAACATAATAAGAAATTTGTTAATCTGAAAAAGGAAATATCGGTTTATAGAATAGAATTCCGAAAAAATATTTCAAACTCTTACTTTGTATAATAAAGCTTCAAAGTGACTAATATTGTGACGCCATCAAACGATAGGTTTAAAATTTAACAGGAACAATGTCGTGACATTGTAGTAGGTCTTTATCTCTCTAACGATAGATAGATAGATTAGATAGATAGATAGATAGATAGATAGATAGATAGATAGATGATAGTAGATAGATATAGGATAGCTAGATATAGATAGATAGATAGATAGATAGATAGATAGATAGATCGATAGATAGTAGATAGAAGATAGATAGATAGATAGATAGATAGATAGATCGCTCTAGATGATCGCTAGCTCGTAGTCTCGCTCGACTAGAAGTATAGTAGATCGCTAGCTCGCTAGCTCCTCGCTGCTCGATCGCTAGCTCGCTCGCTCGCCTAGATCCCCTAGCTCGCTGTATCTCGCTCGCTGCTCGCTCGCTCGCTCGCTCGCTCGCTCGCTCGCTCGCTCGCTCGCTCGCTCGCTCGCTCGCTCGCTCGCTGATGCTCGCTCGTCCTCGCTCTCGCTCGCTCGCTCGCTCGCTCGCTCGCTCGCTCGCTCGCTCGCTCGCTCGCTCTCTCGCTCGCTCCTCGCTGCTCGCTCTCTCGCTCGCTTCGCTCGCTCCCTCGCTCGCTCGCTCGCTCGCTCGCTCGCTCGCTCGCTCGCTCGCTCGCTCGCTCGCTCGCTCGCTCGCTCGCTCGCTCGCTCGCTCGCTCGCTCGCTCGCTCGCTCGCTCGCTCGCTCGCTCGCTCGCTCGCTCGCTCGCTCGCTCCTCGCTCGCTCGCTCGCTCGCTCGCTCGCTCGCTCGCTCGCTCGCTCGCTCGCTCGCTCGCTCGCTCGCTCGCTCGCTCGCTCGCTCGCTCGCTCGCTCGCTCGCTCGCTCGCTCGCTCGCTCGCTCGCTCGCTCGCTCGCTCGCTCGCTCGCTCGCTCGCTCGCTCGCTCGCTCGCTCGCTCGCTCGCTCGCTCGCTCGCTCGCTCGCTCGCTCGCTCGCTCGCTCGCTCGCTCGCTCGCTCGCTCGCTCGCTCGCTCGCTCGCTCGCTCGCTCGCTCGCTCGCTCGCTCGCTCGCTCCTCGCTCGCTCGCTCGCTCGCTCGCTCGCTCCTCGCTCGCTCGCTCGCTCGCTCGCTCGCTCGCTCGCTCGCTCGCTCGCCGCTCGCTGTCGCTCGCTCGCGCTCGCTCCTCGCTCCTCGCTCGCTCGCTCGCTCGCTCGCTCGCTCGCTCGCTCGCTCGCTCGCTCGCTCGCTCGCTCGCTCGCTCGCTCGCTCGCTCGCTCGCTCGCTCGCTCGCTCGCTCGTCTCGCTCGCTCGCTCGCTCTCGCTCGCTCGCTCGCTCGCTCGCTCGCTCGCTTCGCTCGCTCGCTCGCTGCTCGCTCGCTCCTCGCTCGCTCGCTCGCTCGCTCGCGCTCGCCTCGCTCGCTCGCTCGCTCGCTCGCTCGCTCGCTCGCTCGCTCGCTCGCTCGCTCGCTCGCTCGCTCGCTCTCGCTCGCTCTCGCTCGCTCTCTCGCTCGCTCTCGCTCGCTCGCTCGCTCGCTCGCTCCTCGCTCGCTCGCTCGCTCCTCGCTCGCTCGCTCGCTCGTCGCTCGCTCGCTCGCTCGCTCTCTCGCTCGCTCGCTCGCTCGCTCCTCGCTCGCTCGCTCTCTCGCTCGCTCGCTCGCTCGCTCGCTCGCTCGCTCGTCGCCTCGCTCTCTCGCTCCTAGCTCTCGCTCGCTAGCTCGCTCGCTACATCGCATAGCTCGCTAGCTAGCTATATCGCTAGCTGATAGATCGATAGATAGCCTATCACCTTCGCACTTTATCATGCGAACTGTCGATTTCGGTGCAGGCAGATCCCATTTTTTTGATGAAACTAAAGTTTTCAGTGAAATACGCAATATTCGTCGTAAGTCCAGTGAAAAGGTTAGATTTCGATGAAAATCAATTCGGTAAGATCTAAAATTTTCAGTGAAAAAACGATTTTTCGGTGTGAAGTTTGAATTTTTTTGATGAATATTCCGAGGTTTCCGTGATTGAAGTTGAGTTTTAAGTTAAAATTCGAGATTTCGATTAGATGTCAAGTTGTCCGAGAAAGGTCAAGGATTCGGCAAAAACAAAACGGTGATCAGTTTAATTTCGATGCAATGACAAGTTTTCCGTGAATTGTTAAGATTTCGGTGAACCACCCAAATTTCGATAAAACGTTAAGTTTTCAGTGAAATGTCGAGTTTTCGGTGAAAAGTCGTGTTTTTGATGTAAAGTGAAGAGTCGAGTTTTCAAGGACATTTCTATGAAATGTCAAGTTTTCAATAAAGAGTCGATATTTCAGTGATTTGTCAAGTTTTTAGTGAAAAGTCGAGTTTTGGATGAAAAGTCGAGTTGTCGTCACTTTAGATTTCGATGTCGAATTTCTTTGAACAGTCTCCTTTATGTTATGAATTGAATTTATTTAGTCGCAACTAAAAGCGATGAACCTATTCGGAAATGTAAAACCAATATTATTACACAATGAAAGTGTCATAGAACTAGTCTCAAGAAAACTGTAGAGAACTTCGTTCAAATAACAACAGTTTTCCAGAGAATCAGTTCTAGAAGTTAATGGAGACATTACTAGTTCCAAGATTAATATACAAGATTCTTATTTCGTTCATTATCTGTTGTAGAACTAGTTATTTTTATAAACATTTTCTTGTGGAGTTATTACAAACATAAAAATTCGATAATGTATAAAGGGGGAAAGTCCCCAAGAGCCTTAAGTGTGCAAATTTTTTAATTCCTACAAAAAAAATATTTGAAATTATAAGAAATTTATTTTTAATTTCCATTTTATCATTTCAGAATATGAAAATATCTTACATGCGGTTCATTGTACTCATATTATTGATTCGTAAGTGAGAACAGAGCCTTATGCAAAGACGAGTATTAAAGTTAACAATGGTTTACTACACACTTGTTCCATATAAAAACAGGTTTTAACAACTATTGTTAATTTAATAATTGTTTCTGCACAAGGCAGCTAATGTTTAAGAAAAGAAATATTTCATTGAGATTGCTAAAATTTAGTTGTGACAACTGTCTCTCATTTAGTCTTGTTTTGCTACTCTTTTCATTTTTTTATTGTAAATTTCTCTCCAGAATCGTGTACTTTGGCTCGCAAGGTAAAAAGAAAAGGTCATTATGTGTTAACACATCCACATCCTCCCTCACCGCCTACCACCCCGGCTCCTGAGCCACCTTATCACTTTGAAGAAGTACATTTAGATGAATTTCCACCCCAAAACTTTGGAAATGAACGTTTTGGTCAACAGGAAACCTACGAACCACATGATCATTATGGTCAGCAAACCATAATTAGTGGCACTTATCTTATAGACAATGGATTGCGTAGTATAGCTAAAGGATCAGCTGATCAAGCAAATTCTGCGGTGGCCTCACAAAATGCAGCTGGCAAACAAGCAGCTTATGTAGCGAAGAATTCGCTGGCCCAGGCTGCAACTCAAGCGGCCGGTACAGCTGTAGCTGTACTTAAGGGCAAAGAAGTTCTATTACAACGTTTAGAGGAACAAAATGTTGAGGCACACAAGGCCATGCAAGGTGAACTGCAGCAGCTGCAACAGGCCAAACGTTCAGCTAAAGCAGCACAATTTGCCGCACAACAAGCTCTCAATCATGTTTCCATCTTAACGGCAGCTCTTAACAATGCACAATCGGCATCAGAGTTAGCACAAAAATCCGCCTCAGAAGCAGCCGCTGAATTGGCCTCACAAATCGATATGGTTGCACAAGCCAAAACAAAATTGGAACAAATAGACACACAATTGTATACGGCGCGCTTAGATTATGAGGAAACAAAAGATGCGGCTGAAAAAGCAACACTATCGGCACAAGAGGCACAACTCAATGCCAACGATGCTGCATTGCATGCGAATGTTGAATTACAAAATGAATCACATGGTGGCGATGGTTCGTCTCTACATGTGCATTTGCCAGACGCTAACGATCATGATCATCATCATTATCATCATGAGGAGCATTCAATTGTTAAGAGACGTTTTAAAAATAATAATGAGAAGGTTAAAAAGCCATAAGTTTTTTCGGTAACTTCTTGATGTTTATTCAATTCAATTCAATAAACGTTGTATTTTTGAAGATTTTTTTTTTTTACTTTTTGATAAAATTATGTAAGATATTATTCGTGCATTATAAAATTTTGTATTTTTAAGCTCTTTTGTATTTAAACGTTTACTAAGGATGAGTAAATTGTTTGTTAATTTATTAAATAAAATTTATAAAAAAAACATGTCACGTTTATCTGTTATTTTTGTCAATTACCATTGTTTGTCTTTAATATGCGTCATTGTTTCCTTGTTTCCCATCATAACTAATGTCATTTTATGATTAATACTAGCATACCCTGGGTGCTTCGCTACCCTAACCAAAATTAAATACATACAAAATTTTGTTTACTTTTATAGAGAATTAAAATTGATTAAACATTTTTTTTAATGTTTCGGTTTTATACGTTCAATATCACGTGATTAAATTCGCATTCAGTAAGAAGCTTGTATTTTTAGTTTCATTCATTAACTTCCACATTATAGAAAATTTCGAAAGTACTATTTGAAAAAAAGTACTATAAAATACCTCTAATAGATTATCATTTAATCAAAAATTGTATGTTTCTTTGTTCAATATTATATACAATTCAAAAAATTTTAATTTTAATGAATGAAAAAGTCCCTTTCAGTAGATTCTCATTCACTAAGGTCCCTACATTTTAAATTTTATTTTCAATATCTATGTTCAATATCGTAAAAATATCAAAAAGTACCTTCGGAAAAACGAAAAAAGTACAAAAATCTCTCTCAATAAATTCTCATTTAATAAGGACCGTGTGTTCCGGTTAACCATTATAAAGAATCTAAAAAGTACCACCATTTGAAGAATAGAAAAGTACCAAATAGTTCCCACTTAAAGAATATTATTCAGTCAAGACCATGTATGTTAAAATTAATGTTCCTAGGTTGAATATTTTAGAAAATTAAAAAAGTACCATTTATGAGATAAAAAGTACTAAAATAATCTTATTCAATGAGGACTGTGTATGTTTAATAATCATGTGTTTTGAATTCATATTAAAGAACATACAAAGAGTTTCATTTGAAGAAAGAAAAAGTACCAAAAGTGGAATAAAATTTACCTAAGTGGAAAGTACTAATAAAGAACACAATTTTTCCCCTTTTCGTTTAGAAATATACTTTTTCGAGAATTAAGTTTACAAAATGTTCCGTATTTAAATCTATATATCGCAGAGAAAACTCAAACGATTCAAATCTGCATTCATTTGTTCCAGAAAAATAGTGCTTTCAAAAAGTACCAAACAATTTACTCGAATTTGGTCCTAATAATATAATAATATACCAATAGCTTATTTTGTGTGAGTAAGTAAACTACTTTTTCAAATTGTATAAAAATTGGCTCAATGAGTTTGAATAAAATTAAATTTCCCGTTTTTCCCTTTTTGGTACTTTTTTCTCCAGTGAAATAGCAAAAATTTTATTACAATAAATATTACAGAGTTAGTTCGTAATTTAATAGGAATAATTCAATAAACCGAAAAAGTTTTCTTAATGTGGTAAAAAAACAGTACCATAAATAAAGTTTTCTCCCTTTTACACCCAAAAAGGACTGAATTTTAAAAAAGTACGAAAGAGGTGTCTCCTAATTTTGGGAGATGTAACCAAAATATTTATAAAAATTTTATTATGTTAATTAGTTCAAAAGTTATAAGGGGCCAAAAAAGGTACCAAAATCACCTTTGTTACACATTTTTACCCCTTAAAAGTACGAATTTCAAAAAAGTACCAGACACCCATCTGCTCATTTTAAGAGTAGATACAGGTGCATTCAAAATTTTTCTTGTATCACTAATATTGTGTAAGATAATTAAGAAAAACTGTTTTACCCGTTTTCCCCCCTTTTTACCTGTAAATGTAAAAATTTCCAAAAATCCCTCCTTAGGGCGGGTTTTTCAGATAAAGATAATCTACATTCTTTGTTTAAACCTAGTTTAATATATGTTTTGTGTTTTTCAGTAAACAGTAACGTTACTTATTATCTTAGTTTAACTGAGTGTTATTGGCCAATTAAACTTAAGTTATAAGTGAGAAGACACTATTAATAAAAACAATAAAACAATGATTTCGGAAGAACAAAAACTTAATATTTTAAGTAAATTGCAATTTTCCGATTTGTTTTGTTTTATTTATTATTGTTTTAAATGTTTATTTAACATTTTTCCAAAATTTTTCATTTTACAAAAGTATTATTTGCAAAAAACAGCTGTTCATTGTTTATGCTTTTGAGTGAAAAGTTGGCAATACTAACAAAGTTAACTAAACTTAAATCCATAACTGAAAAACACAATCATCGGTTAAAGTCCGTCTAAATTTGTTCCGAGTTTAATCTAACAGCAAGTTAAGCCTAGTTTAACTGAGTAGTAAGAAACCCGCCCTTAGTGGATCTATATAACCAAAAACACATCTACTGTCAAAATTTCATGATTCTAGGTTCAGCCGTTTGGGCTGTGCGTTGATGAATCAGTCAGTCAGTAACGCTACTCTTTTATATATATATATATATATATATAGATAATATAATAGAAATCATTTACACGATTTATTAACTTTCATGCCAATTAATGTTAAAAATGAATTGAAATAAACTTTAAACTTGAGTTAATCTTGAGTTTGTTGACTCTTTCAAATTGCGAGTCGAATTTTGTGCAAACATACGACAAATCAAGTTTTCTTTAAAAGAACGAGTTTTTCAGAATCAAAAGAGTTTCATGTGTGATTGTTAAAAAGTCGAGTTTTATGGTCAAACTCGTGATTATCGCTAAAAAGTCGTGATTTCGCGAATAGTTGATTTTTCGAATTTCAGAATTAGAAAATCTTGCGACAAGTCAAGATCAAAAAGTCGAACTTCCTTCGATTGCTAATAAATCACAACAATTCGCAGTTTAAATTTACAATAAAACTATAAAATATATTACAAAAATGGGAAAAGGCTAAAAATTCAATAATAATAATAATAAATAAACAATCATATAAAATGTAAAAAAATAATCACCTCCCCCCCTGCACGTTATTTAAAGTTCGTAAAAAGTTAAAAGTTCATACCGATCTTGTAAATTTGCATCTCCTTTAAAACGCTAAACTTTTATAATGGTGTCTTAGTAGATCATTTAAGAAAGTGATAAAACTCATTGATAATATGGCTGACGTGACAAACGTTGACGCTGACGTCTTTGCTGCAACAACTGCTGGCGTTGTTGAGGTGTTAAAAAGCGTTTTGCCAACTGACGCCGCGCTCTTTCAGCATTGGCTTTAGCCTCTTGCGCCGCACAAGCGGCTTTATAAGCCGACTTCTTGGTATTGGCAAAATCAGCTCGTGCACTATTCAATTGACGCAACAACTGATCAACACGATATTTTGCCGCTTCCATTAGTTGATTTTTTTCCACCAATTCCTGTTGAGCTCCAGAGGCGGCCTGTTCTGAATTGCCCACATTTGATTGGGCCATTTGTACGGCAGATGTTAGAGTCTTTAGTTGGGCTTGAGCCTGTTGAGCTGCCTGTACGGCTGCTTGTACATTTTGTTGGGCATTTTCCAAGGATGAGGATTGTTCTTGCACCACAGCCTCTGCTTCATGAACCTCCTGTTCAAGTTGTTCTACAATCTGCTGTTTGCCCGCCAAAGCCGCCTCGGCTGCTTTAGCCGCTTGCATAGCTTTTTCAGCCAATTGCATTTTAACTTGTCGCGAAGCAGCCTGTCCTGCCTCCTGTTGAGCATCGGAAGCAGCTTTAGCTTCTTGTGCCGCCTTCTGGGCAATATTTGTCGCCTTTTGTTTTGAATTGCCTTTAGTTACATCCGCATTACAATTGGCTTCACCCTCATTGCAATTATTATCGCCACCACCATTTCCAGCTCCTCCTACTCCTGCATCATCAGCTAAAGCAAAATCGGCATATAGGGAAGGTATTGTGCGTTTAACATGTTTCTATAAATTTCATATTTATTTTAGAAATTTGTATAAGAAAATTTCAGAAATTTTACCAGATTTGTGCTATATCCTTGGGTATTTAATATTAAATTGTTCAGTTGATAAATTATTAAAAATATAATCAGTTTCATTTTGTTTTTAAGGCGAAGATATTACGAATATTTTAAATATTTCAATAATATATTTGACAGCTAAACGTAAATGTTTTCTAAAGCAAATTATAATCAGGATTCCCTAATCAAATTTAACAATTACAGATGGGTAAGTACAATTATATTAAATGTATATCGATTATCGATTAGCAGTTTTTTGAGGAAGTTACCCAAAAGCAGTACTAGTTCAGTTGTAGTTCAGTTCTAGTTCAGTTTAAGTTCAGTTCTAGTTCAGTTCTAGTTCAGTTCTAGTTCAGTTCTAGTTCAGTTCTAGTTCTAGTTCAGTTCTAGTTCAGTTCTAGTTCAGTTCTAGTTCAGTTCAGTTCTAGTTCAGTTCTAGTTCAGTTCTAGTTCAGTTCTAGTTCAGTTCTAGTTCAGTTCTAGTTCAGTTCTAGTTCAGTTCTAGTTCAGTTCTAGTTCAGTTCTAGTTCAGTTCAGTTCTAGTTCAGTTCTAGTTCAGTTCTAGTTCAGTTCTAGTTCAGTTCTAGTTCAGTTCTAGTTCAGTTCTAGTTCAGTTCTAGTTCAGTTCTAGTTCAGTTCTAGTTCAGTTCAGTTCTAGTTCAGTTCTAGTTCAGTTCAGTTCTAGTTTAGTTCTAGTTCTGTTCGAGTTCTTTTCTAGTTCTGTTCTAGTTCTGTTCTAGTTCTGTTCTAGTTCTGTTCTAGTTCTGTTCTAGTTCTGTTCTAGTTCTGTTCTAGTTCTGTTCTAGTTCTGTTCTAGTTCTGTTCTAGTTCTGTTCTAGTTCTGTTCTATTTCTGTTCTATTTCTGTTCTAGTTCTGTTCTAGTTCTGTTCTAGTTCTGTTCTAGTTCTGTTCTAGTTCTGTTCTAGTTCTGTTCTAGTTCTGTTCTAGTTCTGTTCTAGTTCTCTTCTAGTTCTGTTCTAGTTCTGTTCTAGTTCTGTTCTAGTTCTGTTCTAGTTCTGTTCTAGTTCTAGTTCTATTCTAGTTCTGTTCTAGTTCTGTTCTAGTTCTGTTCTAGTTCTGTTCTAGTTCTGTTCTAGTTCTCTTCTAGTTCTGTTCTAGTTCTGTTCTAGTTCTGTTCTAGTTCTGTTCTAGTTCTCTTCTAGTTCTGTTCTAGTTCTGTTCTAGTTCTTTTCTAGTTCTTTTCTAGTTCTTTTCTAGTTCTGTTCTAGTTCTGTTCTAGTTCTGTTCTAGTTCTGTTCTAGTTCTGTTCTAGTTCTGTTCTAGTTCTGTTCTAGTTCTGTTCTAGTTCTGTTCTAGTTCTCTTCTAGTTCTGTTCTAGTTCTGTTCTAGTTCTGTTCTAGTTCTGTTCTAGTTCTATTCTAGTTCTGCTCTAGTTCTCTTCTAGTTCTGTTCTAGTTCTGTTCTAGTTCTGTTCTAGTTCTCTTCTAGTTCTGTTCTAGTTCTATTCTAGTTCTGTTCTAGTTCTGTTCTAGTTCTGTTCTAGTTCTGTTCTAGTTCTCTTCTAGTTCTGTTCTAATTCTGTTCTAGTTCTGTTCTAGTTCTGTTCTAGTTCTGTTCTAGTTCTGTTCTAGTTCTGTTCTAGTTCTGTTCTAGTTCTGTTCTAGTTCTGTTCTAGTTCTGTTCTAGTTCTCTTCTAGTTCTGTTCTAGTTCTGTTCTAGTTCTGTTCTAGTTCTGTTCTAGTTCTTTTCTAGTTCTTTTCTAGTTCTTTTCTAGTTCTGTTCTAGTTCTGTTCTAGTTCTGTTCTAGTTCTGTTCTAGTTCTGTTCTAGTTCTGTTCTAGTTCTGATCTAGTTCTGTTCTAGTTCTGTTCTAGTTCTGTTCTAGTTCTGTTCTAGTTCTGTTCTAGTTCTGTTCTAGTTCTGTTCTAGTTCTGTTCTAGTTCTGTTCTAGTTGTGTTCTAGTTCTGTTCTAGTTCTGTTCTGGTTCTGTTCTAGTTCTGTTCTAGTTCTGTTCTAGTTCTGTTCTAGTTCTGTTCCAGTTCTGTTCTAGTTCTGTTCTAGTTCTGTTCTAATTCTGTTCTAGTTCTGTTCTAGTTCTGTTCTAGTTCTGTTCTAGTTCTGTTCTAGTTCTCTACTAGTTCTGTTCTAGTTCTGTTCAAGTTCTGTTCTAGTTCTGTTCTAGTTCTGTTCTAGTTCTGTTCTAGTTCTGTTCTAGTCCTGTTCTAGTTTTGTTCTCTTCTAGTTCTGTTCTAGTTCTGTTCTAGTTCTGTTGTAGTTCTGTTGTAGTTCTGTTCTAGTTCTGTTGTAGTTCTGTTCTAGTTCTGTTCTAGTTCTGTTCTAGTTCTGTTCTAGTTCTGATCTAGTTCTGTTCTAGTTCTGTTCTAGTTCTGTCCTAGTTGTGTTCTAGTTGTGTTCTAGTTCTGTTCTAGTTCTGTTCTAGTTCTGTTCTAGTTCTGTTCTAGTTCTGATCTAGTTCTGTTCTAGTTCTGTTCTAGTTCTGTTCTAGTTCTGTTCTAGTTCTGTTCTGTTCTAGTTCTGTTCTGCTCTAGTTCTGGTCAGTTCTTCCTGCAAAACTTTTAATAGTTTAACATAATTGATTGTAATATTTTAAAATAAAAACATTTAAGAAAAATCTAAAAATAAGTTTACCTTTGAAAACTGCACACTGATACTTTGTTGGATTTAAATAACTGGAAACTGAACTGAAAACTTTAGCACTTTATAATTTCAAAATTAAATATTACCGCTTTAAGTTTAACACGTTGATTTTGTTATAACGGAATCTTTCTTCATAAAATAAGGGAGTTAAATTAAAAAACTTTAACTCCCCAAATATTTGAATGAAGATTAAATTATCAATTGTTTTTAATTTATTTATATAATTTTGAATGAAACCACTTTAGTATGATTTTATTTTTTTTTAATTCTTTTTATTGTTGTTGTTGATTTTTATTACATTTATATAAGTTAAATTTTAAAATTTTCTTTAATAATTTTTTTTTTTTTTGAATTTTTTGTTTTTAATTTATTGGTGTAATAATAATTTTTTGTTTTCAATAATTTTTAGTTGTTTATACGAATATGTCAAAAACTTTATACAATTTAGTTAAATAAAAATATTGTTTTGTTAATATTAATTTTATATAAGTAGTTATATATAAATGTTTTATGTATAATTTATTTTTTTTAATTACTTACAAATTAAAAATAATACCAAATTTTAAATAATAATTAATAAAATAAAAACAGTTTAAAGTTTTTGTTTTAAATAAATTATTTTTTTAAACATAATAAAAAATATAGACAAGAAGGACAAAATATATAAATTGTTTTTGTTAAGAGGTTAGTAAAATATATATATTTTTCTTTAGGGAATAAAAAATTTTAAATTAAAAAAAAATTCCATTGAGAAAATAAAGTATTGAAGTTGGTTAAAAATTATTATGTGATGTTTTGTTTTTGTTTTTAGTTTTAGTGTAAGAGTGTTAACAAAAATTGTTTAATTAAAAGTTAATTATAAAATATAATATTAAAAATAATAATATTTATTAAGTTTATAAAAATAATTATTATGGTTGTTTATATACAAGCAAAGTTTCTTTTATGTTTTTTTTTTAAATTTATTTTTAATTTTTTGTTTGTTTTTAAACCCCTGTAAAAATTCTTTTTTTCACTTAAAATTTTAAATTATAATTTGACAAATTTTAAAATTATAAATTTATAACATTTTAAGATATATAAATATAATTGTAATAATTATAATAATAATAATAATAATTGTTAAATGTTTTTTTTTTATAAATTTAATTATAATAAAATAAAAGTGTAAGCAGTTTCTTTATAATTTGCACTTTTTTTGATTTTTTTTTAACTTTCTTCTTTTTTTATTTTTTATGTTTAAGAATAAAAGTATAATAATAATAATATAATTGAAAACATTTTACATATTTTTTATTTTTATTGTTGTTAGTGTTTTTAATTTAGTTTTTTTTTTTAATAATTTTATGTTATTGGTTTATATATTTAAAGTTAGTTTTCTTTTTTTATTTTAACTTATTTTTTATAACATAAAATATTTAAACTTAATAACAATTATTTATTTTTTAGTTTTATTTCTTTTTTTTTTTTTTTTTTTTTTTTGTAATAATCATATCAATCATAATAATAGGTTTTTGTTGTTATTGTTGTGGTTTTAAAGAGATTTATTTGTTTTTTATTTCTATTCTATATGTTTTATTTATTTTCTTTAATAAGCTTAAGTTGTTTTAGTTTTAAAGTTTAACATAATTAATAAAAAATTAAATTGTTTATTGTTGTTATATTCTCATAATATAATGAATACTGTTTTTTAAAAAAAATTTACTTAATAAAACTTTTAATTTTTATTATAATATCATCACGTTTAAATGGGGAAAAGGGGAAAATTTTTTAATTAACTTTAAATCAAAAGTTATTTTTCAAAAAAAGGAAAGTTTTTAAAAATTAAAAAAATGCAAGAATTTTTCTAAAAAAAAATTACACAAAAAGCTATTAAAAATTGTCCAAATCTTTTTGATATATAAAAAAAATCGAATGCGGACTTAAGTTGGAATTTTCGAAGTTAACTTCGAATTTTCGAATATAAAATTTTTCATGGCAAAAATGAAAAATTTAATCAAGCAATAATTTATTTTCAATTTTGGAAGATTTATTATTTATATTAACTTTTATAAATTTTTAAAAAAAAATAATTTTTTTTTAATATTTTTTAAAAAATTTAAAAAAAGTTTTCAAATTTTAAACAAAATTTACCTAAAAACCATTTAATTTTCATATATTTATCAATTTTTTACAAAAAAGCACAAAATTTTCAAATTCGAAATTAAGTTCGAATTTTCGAAAATAGATTTTGTTCACTTCTAAATGTGTAATTTTATCTAGTTTTCAGTTAGTTATCTATTTCAGATAATTTTAAGCTAAATTTTTACTAAAAATTACAAAATTTTCAATTTCGAAAATAAGTTTGAATTTTCGAATATGGAATTTTTCCCTCCCAAATGGATATTTAAATCTAGTTTTCATTTGGATTTATATTACACATAATTTTAAGGAAATTTTTTTTAGGAAAATCAGAAATATTTCAAATTCGAAATTAAGTTCGAATTTTCGAACATGAAATTTTTCACTTCCAAATGGATAATTAAATCTATTTCTCAGATAGATTTATATTTTAGATATTTAAGTAAAAATTTGACTTAAAATTACAAAATTTTCAAATTCGAAATAAAGTTCGAATTTTCGAACATGGAATTTTTCCCTCCCAAATGGATATTTAAATCTAGTTTTCAATTATATATAATTTTAAGCTATTTTTTACTTAAAATTACAAAATTTTCAAATTCGAAATAAAGTTCGAATTTTCGAACATGGAATTTTTCATTTCCAATTGGCAAATATAATTAGCTTTCAATTAAATTTACATTTAATATAATCTTTTATTGGAAAATCATCCAAAATTCTAATTCGAATTTAAGTTCGAAAATAGATTTTTTGAATTCTAAATTGAAAATTTTAACAAGAAACCATTAATTTCATATTCCAAGACATTTTAGTTCAAAATTTATTCTAAATGATTTCAATACTCTTTGATACCAATTTGGGAAAAATCAGTTCAAAAATTTCAATAATTTTTTTTCGAAATTATGTTTAATTTTTAAACAATGGACTTTATGCAAAAATTATTCCTATAATTCATTAAAAACTGTTTAAAATGTCTAAATATTGAAGATATCTCAAATTCGAACTGAAGTTCAAATATTCGAAGAATGATTTTTTTTAACATTAAAACAATGATTTTAGTTAAAAACCAAATAAATAAATTTAACTAAAACTGGTTAAAAATTACAATAATTATAAACAAATTTGAGAAAATTTGAAAAAAATAACATTTTCTAACATTGATTGAATACTAAAGACAGAACTACATAGACCGGGCAAGAACAAAATTGGAACTTAAATTGAACATATGCACAACTTTTAAAAACAATCCTAACTACTAATTATATAAAATTTTAAAACAATAATTTACAAATCTACTCAAGACAAAACCTTTATACACAATTCGTTAAGACAAAAATTAAATATTTCTTGCTTTTTTTAAAACATTTAAAATACTTTCCTTTTCAGAAAGAACTTTTGATTTAATACACGTTTATAGTGGCAAATTAAAAAAAAATAGATTTAAATATTCGTTGATATATTTCTTGTAATTTGTTTTGTTTTTTAGTTTGTTTGCTTTGCTTTAGCTTCTTCTACTTAATATTTGTGTTTTTCTTTTTCAAGTATTTGATTTAGTTTTCTAGGTTATTTTTCTCTTTTATCAGAATTAAATTAATAAATGTTATTTATATTCTTCTGTATGCTTTTGCTGCTATTGTTGTTATAAGAATTATAGTTTTTGTTTCTTTGTTATAATAATATATGTATATAATATTTAAACTATGAGTATATTAATAATTACACAGACATAAAAATGTTTCGCTTCGAAATTATAAAAAAAATCACTTTTCTTTGAAAATCACTTTATGCTTTATCTTGTTTTCTTTTTATGTTAAAACTTTACACCAAATACCCATAAATTGCTTACTATTTTCCACGTTCTCTTCTCAATTTAAGTACTTACGACATCTTTTTTGGCTACACGAACAGGGTATTTTCTCATCTTCAAATGGAAATTTATAATCATAAGTCAATTCCTCGCCTTGAACAATACGTCGTAAAGCGAAAATGATTATGTGTTTATGGCCCAATATATCAACAACTTTGGAATAGCAATTGGGCTGTAATTGTACGGAAAGTACCATAAGAATGTGTGCTGTTAAAGAATATTGTTTTTCCAACTTACCTCACAAGAATGATTTATAAATCTAGCTGCATTACCACGCATTGTAGCATCCACCACTAAATGATCATCGATCTTAAACATGTAACAGCCAATGCCACGACTATTATAATAACGTTCACGTTGATCTGTCAATGTGGAACGTATTAGTTCGCCAGCATACTCAATAACCATTTCACCTAGAGTGTAAAGAAAGTAAATTTAAAACATATTTTATAATTTTTAAAACTATAACTGAACTAGAACTGAACTAATACTGAACTAGAACTGAACTAGAACTGAACTAGAACTGAACTAGAACTGAACTAGAACTGAACTAGAACTGAACTAGAACTGAACTAGAACTGAACTAGAACTGAACTAGAACTGAACTAGAACTGAACTAGAACTGAACTAGAACTGAACTAGAACTGAACTAGAACTGAACTAGAACTGAACTAGAACTGAACTAGAACTGAACTAGAACTGAACTAGAACTGAACTAGAACTGAACTAGAACTGAACTAGAACTGAACTAGAACTGAACTAGAACTGAACTAGAACTGAACTAGAACTGAACTAGAACTGAACTAGAACTGAACTAGAACTGAACTAGAACTGAACTAGAACTGAACTAGAACTGAACTAGAACTGAACTAGAACTGAACTAGAACTGAACTAGAACTGAACTAGAACTGAACTAGAACTGAACTAGAACTGAACTAGAACTGAACTAGAACTGAACTAGAACTGAACTAGAACTGAACTAGAACTGAACTAGAACTGAACTAGAACTGAACTAGAACTGAACTAGAACTGAACTAGAACTGAACTAGAACTGAACTAGAACTGAACTAGAACTGAACTAGAACTGAACTAGAACTGAACTAGAACTGAACTAGAACTGAACTAGAACTGAACTAGAACTGAACTAGAACTGAACTAGAACTGAACTAGAACTGAACTAGAACTGAACTAGAACTGAACTAGAACTGAACTAGAACTGAACTAGAACTGAACTAGAACTGAACTAGAACTAGAACTAGAACTGAACTAAAACTGAACTAGAACTGAACTAGAACTAGAACTGAACTAAAACTGAACTAGAACTGAAATAGAACTGAAAAGAACTAAAATAGAACTGAACTAGAACTGAACTAGAACTGAACTAGAACTGAACTAGAACTGAACTAGAACTGAACTAGAACTTGAACTAGAACTGAACTAGAACTGAACTTGAACTAGAACTGAACTAGAACTGAACTAGAACTGAACTAGAACTGAACTAGAACTGAACTAGAACTGAACTAGAACTGAACTAGAACTGAACTAGAACTGAACTAGAACTGAACTAGAACTGAACTAGAACTGAACTAGAACTGAACTAGAACTGAACTAGAACTGAACTAGAACTGAACTAGAACTGAACTAGAACTGAACTAGAACTGAACTAGAACTGAACTAGAACTGAACTAGAACTTGAACTAGAACTGAACTAGAACTGAACTAGAACTGAACTAGAACTGAACTAGAACTGAACTAGAACTGAACTAGAACTGAACTAGAACTGAACTAGAACTGAACTAGAACTGAACTAAAACTGAACTAGAACTGAACTAGACCTAAATTAGTTTTTTTTTACAATAACTCACCAGCTTCAATATCCTTTGTACAATATAAACCACGACCGTGGATATGAGAACGGAATACACCCACATAATCTTTATAAGTTTCCTTTAAAGTGCGATATTTCATTGCCATGGGTAAATTACTGCCCGTACCACGTCTGCAAAAACAGAAAAAAAAAACAACGATATAAAAATTTGCTTTATTAAAACAAATATTCGCAAAATCTCTTACCTTGGCACCAGTTCGTTGTCCGAAGGTTGTACAAACACTTGTACCGGTTGTTTGCGATGCCGTGAAGCCAACCAACTGAACATATCATATTCCGAACGTTTCGAAAACGGTTCACATCGAGCACATTCATAGGGATTTTCCGTTAGATCTTCTTGATCTGAAGCATAATCCATACTATTGCTATCGGTATCGAGGGAGGCGGCTACAGAGGCATTACCATTCATAGAAGATGAAGAGGACAGTGAACTGCTGGAAGCCGAGTGGGAATTGGAGCTAGAACCATGACGTCTATGATATTTGGGTGTATATTTGTTGCATTTCTCTACGCCCGGCAATTGTTCAATGAGATATTTTAAAGCATTCGTTTTAAGACCAATCATTTGAACACCACTCATATCGGCTAGCGGCCCCTCGGGTAGGGGAGCCAAACCATTGGCGCGGCGAGCTACTTGTACAGCCTCGAAAACTTTTTCCCATACTTCACTTATGGAGGAAGATTTATAGGTGAAACCATCTTCACTTTGTATTTCATAAAGTAAATGAGGTCCTGTTATACGTTTGGGATCTCTAGAGGGAGGATGAGGCGGTTGCTGTGCTGTTAAGGTTAAAGGGGCTGAGAGATTAGCTGTTTGCTGCTGCTGTAGAGTATTCAAATTCGAGGCGGGTGTTAGGGAGTTGGCGCAATTTTGCATATAGTTGGTATTGAGGGAATTTTCCACTTCCTGCTGCAGTTTGGCCGAATTTTCAGATTGTAGCAAATGATTATAATTTTCATTTTGCTGTTGCTGTTGTTCTTTCATATTTTCAACTGCCAATTGGGCGGCTATAAAGGCTGATGTTTCCTCTGTTGTGGGTGTGTAGTAATCATTAGCATCTTGTGGCGTTAATTGTGTTTGCTGCTGCTGCTCATTGTTTTCTAAATTCTCCGCTGTTAGGGTATTATTGAGATATTGATTGTTGCAGTGCATTTCTTGCACTTGTGCCTCCAATGTGGTGTTAGTATTTAAAGAATCATTGCAATCTTCGTTGGTAAGATTGTCTAGAATTTTGCTGATTTTTTCTTTAACTGCTGGCTCATCACTATCCATAGACATGTTATCGGAACCATCTGCCGAAGGCATTTTCAAACTAAAACCATCGTCATCCTCATCATCAGGCTGCCCTTGATCCATTTCAGTTTCTTCTTCCTCATTATGAGCAGAACTTAAGGCTTCTTCCTCAATTTCACAGCAATCCGAGCCACCGCCCAAAATAACTTCTCCTTCTGGAGGGAATTTGGGATCGGTTATGAGACATGCCTCGGGTGTAGAGGGATTAACAAAATCGGGCATGTTATTGTGTACATAGTTCATATCATGCAGACACATTTTGGGATTTGAATCATCCACTTTTTCCCCTATATCGTAGGCTAGTGGAGGAGGGGAGGATTTAGCTATATTGTGTTGTATACTTTGTTGCTGCTGCAATTGCAGATTTTGTTGTGTTTGCAATTGTTGCTGCATATGATTTTGTATAGCCTCCTGTGGAGGTTGGGGTGAATGCAGCAACATTTGTTTAACCTCCGGCTCGTAGGCGATTTTATTAATGTTGCTTTTAATGGCTATGGGAGGTGTTGTATCCATCGCTGTGTTATTTAGATTTTGACTTTGTGAGATCTGTGTATTTGTAGTAGTAGAATGCTGTGTAAATTGCGTATTAACTGCTGCTGCAGCTCCTGTGGAAGTAGACGAAGTTGAACTGCAGTTGGTCTGAGAATGTTGTTCATATTGCCTTTGCTGCATGGGTAAAACCCGATTTGTAGGCCGGGTTATGGTAGTACTGCTGCTGCTGGTGGTGGTAGACGTAGAGGTTGTTGTATTAGAATACTGTTGCAAAGGATTGACAATATTAATGTTGGTGTACTGGGGCATTCTTTGTATTGTGGGCAATATATTGTTAACATTATCCGAGTTATTGTGTTGTCCTGCTGCAGCAGCTGGTGCTTGTGTTTGCTCGTATGCTGAATTCGTTGTATTTGAAAAGCTACAGTGAGACAGAGTCTGCTGAGCCATTTGTGAACTTTCGTCTAACAATAAAGCATCGGAAACATTGTAATGTTGCTGATGATTATTAGCCACATGTTGCAGATTCATAAACTCTGTAGTTTCCGTAGATTCTGTTAGATTTGTCAGAGGCATGATGGTATTAGTTTCCGCCTCTGTTATTCCTAGATTTGTTGGATTTGTGTTATTTTGTATGAGTGCTTGCTGCGCTGTTGTTGTTTGTTGCTGCTGCTGCGTTGTTTGTTGTTGTTGCTGTTGTGGTTTCAACACTATCATTTTATTGGGATTTAGGGGCGGCGCTATTGTTGTTTGCTGTTGTAAAGGCGGGTTGTTTTGGTTTATATTATTGTTTATGGTAGGCTTGGTTACTACCGTGGCCGTGGCGGTTTTCATTACCTTGGGTTTTACCTCTAGCTTGTGTAAAGGTCTTATCATATTGGTTTTCTTGTTGCTGTTAGCTGTGGTAGTTGTTGTAGAGTTTATTGAAGCTGCCACGATTGTGGCCGTGGTGTTTGTTAGTTGCGCTTTAGTTACCTCCATTGGTTTGCTTGCTGTGTTTAGATTTTGTGATGTTATTGTTATTTGCGGCTGCTGTTGCATTATTGCATTAAGCTGGGTTTGATTTATGGGCTTTAGATTGTTTGCTGTTTGTGGAGTTTGTGTTTGCTGTAGTTGTGCAGTTTGTAGTTTAATTTTTGTGGCTTGTGCAGGCGCTGGTGTTTGCACCACATTGGGCATTACTTTATTAACCACTTGAGGTTGTACCTTAGTTACTGTGGCGACGGGAGCTGTAGATTTGGTTCTTTTAACTTGTGCCACCGGAGCCACCTTGGCACTAACCAAATGCACATTTTGTTGCGGAGTTGTAGCCTCTACATATTGTGGTTGATTTGCTGTTGAGGTTTGTTGTTGTGTTACCATTATTTGTGGTTGTGTTTGTAGTTGGAAACCTTGCGAGGTGTTTACAGGAGGTGTTTGCAACCGATATACATTATTTTGGGCAGCCTGCTGTTGTTGTTGCTGCTGCTGCTGTTGTTGTTGCTGTTCGGCCAAAGCCTGGGCCTGCTGTTGTAGGGCGGCTTGTATGAAAGTATTTTGATTAGCCTGCTGTTGGGCTGCAGAATTTGCAGCATTGTTAGCTTGTTGCTGTTGTAAAAGAGCATTATTGGCATCCATATTGTTGACCAAAACATAGCCGGCGGGTATATCCACTAAAGGTTCTATTTTGCTGGCCTGGAACACCTGGGTAGTAGTGGCCGAAAAACTGGCATTTTGGCTTAACACTCCCGGCATGGCGGTGGAAACAAATTGTTGTGAAGACATGACAGTATTTTGTACAATAGTCTCCAAGCCATAGTACATGGGTTGTGTAGTAGTGGCTAATATGACTTGTGGTTGTGTGGCCGCTGTTAGCATTTCTAAACCATTGGTGGCTCCTGCTGGATTTCCGCTAATAATCACCTGTTGCTGTTGGGTCTGCGCGCTGCCCTGTTGTGGTATTCCTCCTTCTGCCGTGGAGGTGGTGGTTGTTGTCAGAACATTACCTCCCTGCAGTTGCAAAGTTTGTGGTTGTATTAAGGTGCCTATAACCTGCGGTCCCTGGGGTGTGGTTATCAGCTGTAAAGGAGTGGTAGTTTGTGGTGGTCCATTGGTTAGGACCAAATTACCACTGGCGTCTGTTTGCAAATAGGCTGATTGCAACAAAGGCTGTGTATTGGCTGTGGTAAACAGGGAAGCTTGTGTTTGAGGCTTGTACTCCGTGGCCTGTTGCGCTGTGGGCAAGGTTACATACTGCAGTTGGGGCTGTTGTGTGCCATCATTAGTGGTGGTTACAAATGAAATGATATTTTGTGGTTGTGGCTGCATTATGATTTGCGGTTGCTGCTGTTGTGTTGGAGCTGTTTGAAAGAGTAGCTGTGGTTGTGCTGAGTTTTGTTGGGCCTGCTGTTGCAATTGTTGCAGTAATTGTTGATTGATTAGTTGTGTGGCATTAACCGTTTGTGGTTGTGTTATGTGATTGGTGGTGGTGGCTGTGGTAACATTGATTTTCGACTGGATGGGTTTCACCACAGTGGTGGCTTTTAGTTTATTCTTGGCGGCAGCCTGTTGAGCCGCTTTGGTGGCCATAGTTTTGAGTGGTTTGCCCTGAGTTACGGGTAGTACTATTTTCTTATCGGAATTGGTGGCCTGTAAAGTTTGATATGTTGCCGGAGCCGTTTGGTGTGTCTGTGCAGCCGTTGCCGGTAGTTGTATTAACTGTTGTGTGCCATCCGGGTTAGTGGAAACGGCTATAAGTTGTGGCTGATTCTGCTGCAATTGAGGAGCTGTGGTAAATTGATTGGCTGTGGGCTGTAATGTAAAAGTACCATTCAGATTGGCGGTCAAGCCCTGTAGAGTATTGGCATATAATTGCAGATCATTAGAAGCTTGATTCATATCCGGTTGGGTGGCAGAAATGAAAAAGTTTCCTCCCAAACTTTGAGGCTGTGTTAACTGTTGGATATTGTGTAGATTTTGCAAATTCTGCAAATTTTGCACTCCCTGCAATTGTACCCCCTGTAAAATATTCGCCGTTTGCAAGCCTTGCAATTGCGTTAAGGTTTGTGTGGGTATGCTTTGTATAAAAGGCATTTGATTAGTTCTCTGTTGTTGCTGCTGCTGCTGTAGTTTATTATTTAACTCTTGCAATTGTTCCAAAGTCAATGCCTGCGCCGTATTGTGTGTTAATTCTGGTGTTTGGGAATTATGTTCCGTTTCCGATTCACTGGTGGAAGAAGACATGGGTTCACAATTGTTTAAATGCCTTTGAAAAGATTCTATATTACGATAAGTGCATTGACATCGTTCACACTTCACGGCCGCCTGGGTAGCTTCTTGGGTAACAAAACGATACTCGGTTATACTATCGTCAACACCATCCACTTGCATTAATTTAATTTTACTATCGGTTTGATTAGAATCCAGATTATATCTTTTCTCTGCACTCCAGGTAAACGTTATTTTATTGGAACCCTCCATATCTAGTCTACGGGTAACCGCTGCCACCTCCTTCTTTTGCGAGCGCTGATGATTGTTGAGCGACATTAACATATTTTCCGATATCTTTCTTCTTTTAATGGCATTTTTGGCATTAACCTCACAATTCACCACCGGCGAGGAGGATTTCTTCAATTTCTGCAGTTTGGCTGCCTGGGCTGCAGTTACGTTGGTGTTGTTGCTTAACAAAGCATCCTCCACATGACTGTGATTAACCGTATTCGGCCAATTGCTGTTAAACTCCGCTGGCCATTGTTTGGTGAAGGCTCCTATGGAAGTCATAGTATCCTCATCTGACAATTGCTGATTGCTAACACCATCTTTGGAGTGTTCTCCTTGAGCCATATCCTCATAATTCATGCATTTGGTAAAAATATCCAACATGGAAATACCCTCCAGTAAATCACCTGGCAAATCCTCAAATATGGCATCTTTAATTTCGGGAGGCAAGAGATCGGCATTGGTTTGAGGTTCCTCGTCATTGGTGGCATTAGTTTCTTGAGTATTATTAACCGAACAGGAAGAATGTTGAGGAAAATTATTTAAATAATCATATTCCTCAGCGGTTTCATAGTCTCCTTTGGCTAAACTTAAATGCCATTGTTGTATTTGCTTTAGGCCCTGCTGTATTAAGGCCGTATCACTTTGACCATGATCCACGGTAAAGTTTTTACCCAAATCAATGGCGCCATTAGACAAAGAAGTCGAGGAGGCATTGTATATATAAGTCCTGACAGTATATTCCACAATTTTCCAAGGTTCTTTGGAAGACCAATACAAACGTGAGCATAGAAAGTTAACGGGCACCAAAGATTCATAAGTATCCGAGAATCGGGGTAAAATATGACCCAATTGCTTAACTTCCAAGGAGCCAATATGAAATTGTACCTTTGAGGGTTCCACCAGCTTCTTGCGCTTACGTTCTAATTCCACATAGACCGGCCGTGTTACCTCGAACTGTGTTTCAAAACTGGTTTTAGAACTACTAAAACTGGCCGCATGCTGAGGACAATACATGGATTTATCGGCAAGAAAGGCACAATTTTTAGATCTAGCACAGGGATAGTGATAATGTTCGCCACATGACTTAACATTACAACCCACTGTTGCTCCGCGATTGCCACAAACGGAACATTTAATCATGCGTCCTCTGGCTACGGCTGAGTGTACATTTTGCAAAGAACCATCGATTTCTTCGAAAACCTCTGCAGACCACAAGGCGCAATTGGTATGGACCCAACAGTCATGACCACAATACAAAAGACGAGATTCTTCTCCCGGCAGTCCCTCACCCGTACGACGACAAAATAAACATATTCTAGCATCCGTGCGAGATTTTATATTATACAGCTGTTCCTCCAAATCATGCGGCAATTCAGCCAATAAAGCTGAACGATCTTGATCGTCCTGTTGCTCCTGGCTAGAGGGTAAGCAATCCATATTATAATCTGATTCTGAATCCCCAGAAGTATTGAGACCATAAGCTCCTCCCGCCGCCTCATACATATCCTCTTCCAAAGCATCTGTACAGGCTTGGGTTTCATTTTGAAACCAGGGAAATTGTTCACTTAATATCTCTTTATATACAATAACCAAATCATCACAATTGGCCTGTTGTATCACCAAATTCATGTCGTAATTGAATTCCGCCAATGAGACATAATTACCATTGGAGATTTTATGTTTTATCTCCACTAGACTTAAGCTACTGGGCGGTGTTGTCACTTGAGCTTGACATATACACTTCTTGGTTTGTAACTCCAAAGTGGAATGATGATTCAAAGTCACCTGATCTCGTTCACGATCATCGAATTCATAGATGTCTATATTGTTGGTGGAAGCCAAAGGATCCGGTTCATTAGTTGCATTAACTTGTGAGTTTTGTGAACTAAATTGCAAAGATTTGGGTTGATATTTGTTATTAGCCGTGGAGGAGTTGGAGCTGGAACCACAAGCACATTTTAGCTGTTTACGTGGACTTAGCTTCAGCAAAGCACAGGCTTGTCGCGATTTACTTAGCAGCTTTAAAACACTCATTAAGCTGGACTTGAATTCTTCCTTTACCGCCTCCCGCCATTCGCAGGCTCTTTGTTTAGCATCTTGCGATTTGCGGGAACATCTTTTGCATATAAATTCTATGGATTCTGGCAAAGTGCTTAGCAGATTATATTGCTCATCTGTTAGAGTCTCACATTTGGCATGCACCCATTGATGACAATCACCACATTCCATCATTTTCAAATCGAAATCCTGATCATCATAACACTTCTGACACACCGGACAATAGTTGCCCTTTTTGCGCAACTTAAAGCAATTGGTGCACATGGGTAGATTACCCACAAATTTCGTTACTTTTGTGGTGGAGCAGGAACGACACTTCAAACAGTTGACACAGATTAAGGGGCGATCGGCGCCTAGCAAACGTTTGCTAGTGCCCAAACAAGTAGAGTGATAGTTCTTTTGACATTTTTGACATTTCACTTTAGCACCGGAAGACATGTTACAGGTGTAACACACCGTACAACGCGGACACAGCCAATTCAACTTGGCTATGGCATTATTCGCATGCGAACTTAGGCCCTGCGTCGTCACACTAAGACAACTTTCATTCAGCAGTAGCGTGTCATCGAGGGAGCCATGTTTGAGATTGAATTCGTCCTGGACGCAATACTGATGATACGGTTCACAGCAGCAGGAACAAAATATTAAAGGTTCTTGACCCGCCGAACCACAAAGGAAACATAAAGCGCGCTGCGCCACTGTTTCCGTAACAATAAGACCAAAACCAGTTTGGCATACTTCAGCCGGATCATAGTTTTCCCAGAAGTCTATAGAGATTAAAAGTTTACATTTCACCTGGGGTTCCTTGCGTGCTCGCTGTGTCATTAAGGAGGGATGTATATGGCTGTTAATCTGTTTCTTATAGGCGGTCAATTGGGTATTATAGTGATGTGGTCTTTGTGATAACTTGGTAACAGGAACCAAGGCTTTTGTAGTGGTTTCTAGTTTCTCGATTTTAGCTGTCTTTAAGGGAGGTTCTGTTATTTGGGAAGGTTGTTCATCTGTAGCCAATTGTTGGGGTTTGCAGGAGGCACAGTTATCGTTTTCATCGGTGAGCGGTAGTTTAGTTTCTGTTTGCTCTAACGTTTCCGGTAACTGTTCTTCATTTAAGATAGATTCCTCGCCTTCTTCACCAAACATGGCTAAAGGTTGTCCCAAAACTATAGAAGCACTACGGCAAACATGTTTGACACGGGGACCTTTTAAGTCTATGCGTTGACGTTTGTCTGCTGTTGCTACTGTAGTGGCGTTATTATTGCCAGTTGTTGCTGTGCTATTAGTTGGACCGGCGGGGATAATAGCCGCCACTGTAGTAGTGGACGCTGTTGTTGCTGTGTTTAAGCTGTCATCCTGTTTACAGTCCTTTACTTCCCCTGCCATTAGCTGCTCCAATTTTTCTTTAGACTCTTTCGTTTTATCTGTTTCTGCTTTGGGTGAAAGCATTTCTTTTACTCTCACTTCTTTGCGTTCCTTTTCAAAAGATTTATCTTTCTTTTTGTTGTTTAAAGATTTCAAGGCTGGTTCTGCTAGTATAGATTCCGGTTTTTCCGTCTTCAAATCCTTTAAAACATCCAAAGGTTTTTTATCTATTTTTTCCGTTTTGGTGTCTAAAGAACTTTTCAAAAATAAAGGTTTTTCCAAAATGGCCGGCCTTAGTAAGGGAACACTGCCAAAAGTAACATTATTTTCTACTAAAGGATTTGTTTTCAGATTCAATTTTAATGTCTCCGTTAGGTTTGCTGATGTAGTCGTACTAGAGGTTAAGGGTTCTACTAAAGGTTTCCATTTAATAGGACCCGTTAACTTTGTTGTTTCCTCTAGTATTTCTTTCTTGGATTTGGTATCTTGCAAAGAAGATTTACTGCTGTTGCTGCTGATGGCATTACTTAAGATCGGCAGCACTGCATTTAGCCTCACTTTTGGCAATTGTAAAGTTTGTAGACACTTTTTCAGCCAACAATAGCCACAACGTTCTTTGTAAACTTTCTTAAAGTTTTTCAAATGACCCGCCTTATTGTTAAGCGGTAAAATCACACAATTTCCTGAGCGAGAGAGAGAAGAGAGTATAAAGATGAAACAACTTTAAGTTGATTTCAATTGTTATTTAAAACTTACCATCTGCTTTGCACTGGAGTTGTACGGTTTTCATTGTGGTTGAGTTTTTCATGGCAAGAGATTTCTTGGCAATTTTCGATATGAATTTACGGCAATGTTCACAGCTTAATTCCACATACTTATTGGCTTGTGGTAAATTTTTCGAATGTATTATGGAAGCACAAACAGCACAATGATGAGCTGGCGGGGAAGCTATAGAAACAGGGACTGTTGTAACTGAAAAACAAAATAAATTATTAGTTTTCCTGAAGGAACTTTGTGTCCGTTTAAAACTACTCACTTGTATTGCTAATATTTTTGATAGCACTGGTACCATTTAAGGAAAACGTAGGCGATAGCAATGAGGCTGTGTTACTTAAACTACCAGCAGCTGCTGCTGCCGCCGACGATGATATGGCCTGTTGCAAGGACTTGGGCAAAGAAGCGGATAAGGCTAAAGCTGCTGCAGCTACTGCCACATTGGTGTTGCTACTACGTTCACTGGTTGTTGTTGCTGCAGCTGCTGTGGTGCTGTTGGCATTCGTTAAAGATTCGAATTGTAGTCGTGGTTGCCTTAAAACAAAACTACTGGGCTTTAGTGTTGTGCTACTACTGCCGGCGCTGCCATTGGTTGCCGTACTTGTTGAGTTGTTGCCAAAATTCGAGAAAACATTTGAGCTGGAGGTAAAGCTTGAGGCGGAAAGTTTTGGGCTCTCTAATGTTATTTCCTTAGAGGATTTTAAGGCTGAAAAGATCAAAAAAGAAATTAATTAAAGCACCAGTTTGAAAAATAGGAAAAACAATTTTAAAAGAAATCTAAATTTGCGGCGAAAATCGTAAATTTTATCGCTTTTTTTAAAAACTTCTTAAGCTATTTCTCTTTCCAAGAAGTATTCAGAAAACTTTTAAAAAATTATCAAAATACAACACTTACTTGCTGTTCCATTACACTCCTTGGCATTGTAATCACCCAAACCGAAATAGTTGGGCTGTTGAACAGGAGCCGTTGTCTTCTCCTCCTTGGCTGCTAAAGCGGCAGCTGTAGCCATGGTGGCGGTAGCAGTTTTTAAAATACTTTTCTTGCAAATAATACCATCCTCTATTAAACGTTTATTGGGTTTAATCAGCCTCGAAGAGCGGCAGCTGCGTTTGGGTAAAACAAAATGTTTATCCACAATCATTTGTTGATTTTCCTCCTCCTCTTCGTTAGAGACTTTAAGCTTGAGTTTATGTTCTTGCTCCAGAGAATGTTTAGCTTCCACAGCAAGCTCTTCCTCCTCCATATCATCTTCTTCTTCTATTCCTTCTCCGTCCAACTCCTCCTCTTCCTCACATTCTTCTTCTTCCTCATCTTCCTCTTCATCGTCTTCATCGTCTTCTTCTTCCTCCTCATCACTTTGTTCTTTACTTAAACGAAAATTAATAATATTATGTTTAAGTTTACTATCCTCTTCCTCACTGGGTGCACCAAATACTCTTGACAAAGGACCCGCCAAAACTGAACAACTTTCACTTGTTGTCGTCCCTAACGCAGAAGTATGAGGTTGCTGATGATTCGTACGAAATTTCAATGAATTTAATTTATCAATATTTGAATTATTTTTGAGTATTTCCGTTAGCCTCGATGGTCTTACTATAAATTCACTATTTCTCGTATACATAAGCGGCCGATTAAGACATTCTTTCTTGATAATCGATACCAAGGGTTTACGATTATCCGGGTTATAGAACTTTTTAACCGCACTTTTATCATCGCTACTCTCGAGTACATTCTTAAATGTAACCGTTTTCTTTTGTTTCTTATCATTACTGCTGGTGGAGGAGGAAGAATTTGAATTCGAATTGGAATTCAAATTAATTGTTGCTGCACTGGCTGTGGTGGCCGCTGCTGTAGAGGAATTGGAATTGGTTGAGGTTTGAGAGACATTGGAGGGCGATAGGTTTAAGGAGTTGTGTTCCATATTGCGGCTGGGAGAATTTATAGGTGTTATACTGGGATTTTGTTTGATTGTAGTTTTATTATCATCTTTTGTGTTGACTGTTGTTAGTTCTGTAGTAACGTCTTTTATTTGATTATTGGTTTGTTCACTGGTTGTTCCGTTTAGTTGAGCTGTTGTTGAGTGGTCTAGGTTGGTTTTTGGACATTTTTTCTGTAAGTAAAGAGAGAGAGAGATAAAATTTTAGGTTAAAAATTATAAATTTTGGGAGAAAATTTTGAAAATAATTTATTTTTATAAAAAATAATTTTTTAATTTTTAAAAATATTTAGAAAATTTTGGATAAAAATCTGAATTTTTGGCGAAAAGCTCAGTTTTTTTTTTTTTTTTTTGCAAGTAAAAACTCCCTTTTTGCCGAAGAAGTGATATTTAGGTCAAAAAGCATTGCGTTTTTGGTGAAAACCCAAGTTTTTGAAAAAAAAACTAATGTTTTGGTGAAAATCTGAGTTTTAGGTGAAAAACTGAGTTTGTGGTACATATCGGAGATTTACATAAAAAACTGACATTTGAGGTGAAAAACTGAGTTTATGGTGAAAAACTGAATTTTAGATAATAAACTGAGTTCGTGGTGAAAAACAGAGTTAGTGGTGAAAATCTGAGTTTGTGGTGAAAAACTGCGTTATTGGTGAAAATCTGAGTTTGTGGTAAAAAACTGAGTTTTAGGTGAAAAATTAAGTTTTAGGTGAAAAACTAAGTTTGTGGTGGAAAACTGCGATTGTGGTGAATAAATGCGCTTTAGGTGTAAAACTGAGTTTTGGTTGAAAAACTGAGTTCTAGTTGGAAAAACACAGTTTTAGATAAAAACTGAGTTCGTGGTGGAAAACAGAGTTAGTGGTGAAAATCTGAGTTTGTTTTAGGAGCAAAACTGAGTTTGTGGTAAAAAAAAATTGGGTTTGTGGTGAAAAGCTGAGGTTTTAGTAAAAAACTAAGTTTGTGAAAAACTGAATTCTTGGAAAAAACAGAGTTTTTGGAGAAAAAATTTAGTTTTAGGTGAATAACAGAGTTTGTTGTGAAAAATGCGTTAGTGGTTAAAATCTGAGTTTTAGGTGAAAACAAAATTTTAGGTAAAAAACAGAGTTTTTGATGAAAAAAACAAGTTTTTGTTGAAAATAACTGAGTTTTAGATAAAAAACTGAGTTTGTGGTAAAAAACTGAATTATTGGTGATAAACTGAGTTTTTAGTGAAAAACTGAGTTTTAGGTGAAAAACTGAGTTTTAGGTGAAAAAGGGAGTTTGTGGTGAAAAACTGAGTTGGTGGTGAAAAACTGAGTTCTTGGTGAAAAACTGAAGTTTTGGTAAAAAACTGAGTTTGTGGTGAAAAACTGAATTCTTGATAAAAAAACGGACTTTGTGATGAAAAACTGAGTTTTTGGTGAAAAACTGAGTTTTTGGTGAAAAACTGAGTTTTTGGTGAAAAACTGAGTATTAGGTAAAAAACTGAGCTTTTCGTGAAAACAGAATTTTTTGTTAAAAAAACTAAGTTTATGTCGGAAAACTGACGCTAATTTCGAATAAAAATTTAAAAAATTTTAAATAAAAATTTATTTTTTTTAGGAAAAATGTGCTACATAATTAAATTTTAAAAAAGTTTGTTTAAACTTAGTTTAAACAAAATGAATTCTTGAACATCTTTAAGTTAAAGCAACAACATTTTTTAATTAAATTTAATTTTAAACAACAAATATTATTTATAACACTTAAACATGCTATTTTTATTAAAAAAAAAACATCACACAATAATTTCAATAATTTTATGATTTTAGAAAAAGATTGCAGAAAGTTTTTTGAACTGCCACTGAAAAGAAACTGAAACGTAATAATAGGCACCTTGCTCAAATATTAAAAACATTAAAAATTCCCCCTCTTTTATTATTTGCAATTTAATTTATGTTTTTTTAAATAAATTTAATTAACAACTGACCTTGATCTTACAACTGAAATAAAGGAAACAAGGCATTATCTATTCCACAAACCAACAACAACAAAAACACACACACGATGTAAAGAAAAACATGTTTAAAATTATAAAGTCAGGCTTAAAACAAAACAGCAAAAAAACAAAAAAGTTATTTAATTATAAAAATTAATTCATAAATATTCCTGCCTTAAACAAAACAGAAGAAAGAAAAACCAGACATGAGAACTTTAAGACAAACAGACAGACAGCTAGCAAAAGTAAAGACATGCAGCAGTAAGTTACAAAATAAGTCTACAAAACCCCCTCGACTTAAAACTACTTAAAAGATTTCAACAATTAATACCTCCACGACAAACAAAACACACCGAATGAAAACATATTAAAGAAGACTCTAAACAACCAGACCAACAGACATGTAAACCCTTTTTTACATGATAAACTCTAATAATAATGTAAAAACTACAAAATCCCAACAAAAAATAATGGGGTCTGGGGAGTATAAAGTCTAAATTTCCCTCCACATTTTTCCTCTTAACAACAAACTGCAAATAACAAATCAATTGTGAAAATTTTCAAAAACAACAACAAACTTTAAAAGAACAAGAAGTCTAGCGAACAAAAGCAAAAAAGAAATAAAAATTAAATAAAAAATCAAACCTACAAATATCAAAAGTTGTTTTTTTTTTGTCAGACACGAAGAAGAAAAGGTATAATGGTTGGAGGGGTTCATATAAAAAAGTATATATAAGTTTTCTATCCAATTGTTAGTTTTAAGGAAAAACAAGCCTGTCAGTCAAAGAATTGTAACTACAACAAATAACCCAAACAGCCAGCCCAGTCAGCCAGCCAGCCAGCCATTGAGACATCCAGTCAGTCAACCAACCAGCCAGCTAAGCAACCATCCAAGACAAAAACATAAAGTGGTCAACAAGCCAGAAACAATTGCCAGCGACGTACATCAACAACAACAACAAACACAAAATATTTTAGTACAAATAATAAAAAATACAAAAAAGGGAGAAATGCAAATATACGAGCATAACGTAATACTTTGTACTCCCGGTATTTTAAGTCGTTGTCGTCATCATCAGTGTTTGTTTGTCAGGGCACAGTGGTTAGTTACCTTCAAAATTCCAAATCCATGTCTACTTTATATAGAGAGTGGTTTCTTGTCTACTTTATAGGGTAGACTCTGGTCTACTTTATAGAAAAAAACTCTCATCTACTTTACAGAGTACTCTCTCATCCACTTTATAATGTATTCTCTAGTCTACTTTATAGAGTACACTCTCATCTACATCATTGAATAGACTCTCGTCTACTTTATAGAGTAAACTCTCGTCTACTTTATAGAGTACACTCTCTTCTACATCATAGAATAGAATCTCATCGACTTTATAGAGTACACTCTCCCCCACTTTATAGAATAGACTCTCTTCTGCTTTATAGAGTACACTCTCGTCTACTTTATAGAGTATACTCTCGTCTACTTTATTGAGTACACTCTCGTCTACTTCATAGGATAGAATCTCATCGACTTTATAGAGTACACTCTCCTCAACTTCATAGAATAAACTCCCGTCTACTTCATAGAATAGACTCTCTTCTGATTTATAGAGTACACTCTCGTCTACTTTACAGAGTACACTCTCGTCTACATCATAGAATAGAATCTCTTCTGCTTTATAGAGTACACTCTCGTCTACTTTATTGAGTAAACTCTCGTCTACTACATAGAATAGACTCTCATCTACTGTATAGAGTATACTCTCGTCTACTTTATGGAGTACACTCTCGTCTACATCATAGAATAGAATCTCATCGACTTTATAGAGTACACTCTCCTCCACTTCATAGAATAAACTCCAGTCTACTTCATAGAATAGACTCTCTTCTGCTTTATAGAGTACACTCTCGTCTACTTTATAAAGTACACTCTTGTCTATTTTATTGAGTACACTCTCCTCCACTTCATAGAATAAACTCTCGTCTACTTTATAGAGTAGACTCCCGTCTACTTCATAGAATAGACTCTGTTGTGCTTTATAGAGTTCACTCTCGTCTACTTTATATAGTACTCTCTCGTCTACTTTAGGGAGTACATTCTCGTCTGCTTTATAGAGTAGACTCTCGTCTACTTTAGAGTACACTCTCGTCTACTTTATAGAGTAAAGTCTCGTCTACTTCATAGATTATACTCTCATCTACTTTACTCGTTCTGTAATCAAGCGCGTTGTAAGCGCGACATGCATCATACTCATCAAACGAAAGTATTTCCCACGAAAAGAACTCGTAACGAAATATTATCGATTTGGTGATAAAAGAGAAAGAGAATATACAGAGGAATTTGGAAGGCAAGAGGGACATCACCAAATTAACACTAAGATCCATAAGAATACTTTACAATGTCGTGAATAAAAATTGTGCTAATCACAAACGAAAAGAGCAATTCCCATTCAATGAGGGGACTATCTATCCAACACCACTGTTGCTTTACTAGCATTATTGGTATCTGGATGTCGTCGTCGTCGTTGACGTTGTTATTGTTGTGTTGTACTTAAAAAAGCAAGTTTATACTTTGCTGTTGTTGCTTGTTTTTTTTTTTTTTTTTTCCTTACAAAATTTTCTCGTCAAGACACTTACATTATACACTATACGAAGAGTACTTTTTGAGGTGGAAAAAAAAAGCAGGCTTAAATACAACAAAATATATATATAAAGGTATTAAGGTTTTTTGTTGCCAGTAATAATCGTCAAAAGGTGCAACGTATAAAAAATGGTATTAAAAACAGAAACAACGACAACAACTCCAGCAATAATAACATTCAGAAGGCTTTAAAATAATAAACAATTATCTACCACACACAAATGCTTAAGGAGATTGTAAAGTGAGCGTAAGGAATGTGAACAACAATAACAGAAGAAGAAGAAGAAAAAGCAGCAGCAGCAACAACAGAATTAGCGACAACAACGTTGGCAACATTTAACCCTATAGCTTAAAAGGAGACCAAGTTTTTCTCATATTCTCTTACAATCGATTATCATTTTGGTCAATTTGAAAGCAAAGAGAAGTCAAATGTTTACTTTACACATTACAGGTAATCTAGGTTGGATACTATGGTCTCTTTAGTGGATCTTAGTAGTCTATAGAATAGATACTTAAGTCAGTAATGCTTTCATTTCTTTGCACCAGCTAACAGACATTCGCTTATAAAGAAAGCACTCAGTGGCTAATTTGATAACCATATATAAGCAGTGGAATCTTTTCAGACTCTCCAGAACTATTGGGTAATTGTTCAACGTAGCAATCCCAAATGAAAAGTAGAAGAAAAAACAACACCGAGAGTTAAGTCAAGTACGTGTAATGGAGACACACATAAAATCGTCATCATACTCTTCCATTTTTTTTCCATTGTGGACAAAATTAAAAGAAAAACAATAATAAAAAAGTCTAAAAAAGAGAAAAAATAACTTAACAGCAAGGAATCACACACACACACATTAATAAAAGAATTTCTTTAAAAAACAGTGTTCGTAAAAAACGACAAAAACGACAACAAACAAAAAAGAAAAACAAACAACAAAACTTTAATGAAAAATATACAACAATTCAATCATTTTTGTAAGAGTTTGTGAGTGTGTTTTTTTTTTGTTTGATCAGGGGTCTGAGGAGGAGGAAGTAGTTGAAATTAAAATAAATTTAATATAGGTATCTTGACAAAAAAAGACATAATTTGAAGAGAAATGTGTTGGTCATTTGCAAAGACTCCAGGTTGCGAGTTGCGCCAATCAGAAAAGGATTTACTTTTCTTACAGATGCCGAAACACGAATGCTTAAGTGTATATAATATTTTAACAATGAGCTTTTACGATTCATTAATAAGGGTTACTAATTTAAACACTTCATTTTTCTCTTGTTTTTGAAAAATTTAAATTGTAGTTTTTCAAAGAAGTGTCAATTGTTTATTCGATTTGTTTACCAAATCATGCTACAGGATTTCAATAAAATGTTTGTCAATTCTTTAGTCCCCTTCAAAAGTGACACAATTGAGTTCTTAAGCATCGATCCATTTCTAATATCCCTAGAGAAAGTATCAAGCTGGAGAATACGGTATTCATTATCCACTTCTAACGCATTGAATTCTTAAGCAAAATAATCATGCTACAGGATTTCAATAAAATGTTTGTCAATTCTTTAGTCCCCTTCAAAAGTGACACAATTGAGTTCTTAAGCATCGATCCATTTCTAATATCCCTAGAGAAAGTATCAAGCTGGAGAATACGGTATTCATTATCCACTTCTAACGCATTGAATTCTTAAGCAAAATAATCTGTATTTGTCCCTCTGATTTTCATCTTCGACAGATCAGTAAGATCATGCAAAAGCTTTCACTGAACATTTCAAAATTGCAATGTTTCTGTGTATTTTTTGCGCAGAGAAAGTTTGTTTAAGATAAGTTCTATTCTCCATTCTAACAACTTTTAAAGAGGTTCGAATATGACAGCTTTAATTTCAAACTTAAGACGTCAGAATTGAAGTTTAAACAATCCTTGACAAATTCCCAAATGATTACAATCCAAATTTCGTAGGATGTGTGTGAATCATCTGAGAAAAAAGAATGAAGTTATAAACAGTTCATTGCAATGGATCATCTGACAAAATCTGTCTAATTGGTTCACCTTTTTATTACAGCCTCTATTACAGAGTAGGGTTCTATAAATCGACTTTCGAATAATCGAACAATCGACTTTTTGTCGAAAAAAGTCGAAAAGTCGAAGTCGACTATTTTGTTCCAAAAAAGTCGATAACTCGACTATCGTCTGTGAAAAAAGTCGAAAAGTCGACTTTGTGAATAAAAGTCGAAAAGTCTGAAAGTCGAAAAAAGTCGATAAGTCGAAAAAAGTCGAATAAAGTCGAAAAAAGTCGAAGAAAGTCGAAAAAAGTCGAGGAAAGTCGAAAAAAGTCGGAAAAAGTCGAAAAAGTCGGAAAAAGTCGAAAAGTCGGAAAAAGTCTAAAAATCGAAAATTATAGAAACAAGTCAAAAATAGTCAAAAATTTTAAAAAAGTGGAAAAAAAAGTCAAAAACTCTAAAATAGTCGGAAAAACTCGAAAAAAGTCAAAAAATAGTCGGAAAAAAGTAGAAAGAAGCCGAAAATAGTCAAAAAGTCGAAATAAAGTCGAAAAAAGTCGAAGAAAGTCGAAAAAAGTCGTAAAAAGTCGAAAAAAGTCGAAAAGTCGGAAAAAGTCGAAAAAAGTCGGAAAAAGTCGAAAAGTCGGAAAAAGTCGAAAATTGTAGAAACAAGTCAAAAATAGTCAAAAATTTTAAAAAAGTGGAAAAAAAGTCAAAAACTCTAAAATAGTCGGAAAAACTCGAAAAAAGTCAAAAAATAGCCAGAAAAAAGTAGAAAGAAGTCGAAAATAGTCAAAAAGTCGAAAAAATCGAATAGTCGAAAAAAGTCGGAAAAAGTCGAAAAAGTCGAAAAGTCGACTTTTCGTTTCAACTATAGAACCCTATTACAGAGTAGTTGATATGTGAAATGACTTTTTATCTCTGTAATCTGGATTTCCTAAAGATCACAACAATAAAGTAAAGTCAAACTAATGAGTATAGATCGTTCGTATTACAAAATCTCACTGAACTTTTGGCAACCCAAAGATCAGTATTAAAGTCTCACAATCAAGATTTACCCAGGACGTTTCTTTTAATACACGCGATCAGTAGTAGAGTGAAGTCTATGTCAAAGTAAACTCTAGGAGTTAAATGCCAGAATTGTGTATAGCTCTCTCTTTCTTCTAAAAGATCACCGTGAATCCTGTACTCTTGACGATTGAAATCTCAGTTGACATTTGAAAGTTTCTCAAGGCAATTTGATCACCAGGCACTGTGTAAGGAACCCCAAATTATTCCGCGTTTAAAGCTGGAGTAATACACAGTTCATTTTATGATTTGTGGATATACAATTTAAAACACAACTTCATTTTGTTTCATTTTCAATGTTTCAATTCCACTGAAGACTTAGAACTCCTTTGGAACTCTATAAACAGAAAGCGTAATATGGAAACTTGCAAGTTATGGGATCTGCAGACATTGTGTAAGGAACCTTCTGTTATTGCGGGTCTCAATCTGTGGTTCGTTGATCTAACTTGTCAATATTGAACCTATAACAATTCTAGCTAATTGGCTTACGTTCAGAACTAAACATTTCAAATAGTTTTTTTTTAATTTCAACAACATCCCAAATCATAATTCGAAGAAAACTGAAATTGTGCCAGTCATCATACTTAAAATTAAAAAGTAAACACACTTCTCACAAAATTCTCATAGTCAAACCCTGATAATCAAATCAATCAAAGTAGACTTTTTTTAATTTCATTTTTTTCACATCATCACTCTCTTAACACACTGACAATTAAGATCTTTTTGTTTTTTTTCTCATAAAAAATAAATTTAAAAATAAACAACAACTTACCATCTCCAGATGAGAGCTGTTTGTAGGAAATGTCAAACTGGAATTTTCATCTTCAACATCATTATCACTGTGATCATTATTATTATTATCGTCATTATTATTATCATTTTTATGTTGTTCAACATTTATTTTATGATCTATGGTATTATTATGATTAACAGATTTATGATATTCATTAATATTACAGGAGGATGACGAAGAAGTCGAGGCTGTTGATGTTAAACGAGTTGTTGGAGATGCTGCTGTAGAGGAGGATAAAGAAGAAGACGAAGGAGATAATGATGAAGACGAGGCGGACGTTGATAATGACAACAACAATTCATTATTTATTGTAGTAGAGGTTTGTTGTTGTTGCTGTAACTCTGGCAACTTGTTATTTAAGCTGGCGGCTGTGGGAAAATGTTCAAGAGGGGCGGGTGGTGTTGCTGTTAATATTGAAAAAGAATTTTTGCTAGTATCTTGTTGTTGCTGCTGCTGTTGTTGTTGTAATTTTAATTTACTTGATGAAGGTAGCATTACTTCTGGTTTATTTATATTTAAATTTTTAAATTTCTTACACGGTCGTTTAGGAAAATTTACTTGCCCCGTAATTAAGCTGGAGCTAATAAGCTTTTTAGAGTCTTTTAAAGAGCCTAATGAAGCTATTGTTGTTGTAATAGGTTTTTTATTATCAGCAACAGTTTCCTTACAGGCATCTGTTGTGGATTTAGAGCTACCAGAGACATTTTCAAATTTATCTGTTTGAGGCTGATGTTGTTGGCTATGGGTATTGTTTTGTTGTTGTTGCTGCTGCTGTTGGTTTGTGGTGTTTGAAGTAGAAGCTCTACCATTCATATTACGGGTAGCAGCCAACAGCCCCGCACTAGCTGTTGGACCCCCCTGCTCATCCTCATCATCGTCTTCATGGGGTTTACGACCATTTTTACGTTTTTCCAATTCCACCGAATCATTATTTAAATTTTCCTCCGTTTTCGTTTGCTCCTCCTCATCTTCGGCATTGGCAGCAGCTGTAGCGGCATTTGAATTTGCAGCCGCCGCCGCTGCTGCTGATCCTCCACCTCCTACTCCTGCTCCTGACGAACTATTAGTTGAGTTTGCTGTTGTGGAAGAAGCTGCCGCCGAGGCTGCTGCTGCCGTTAAAGTATTATTTGGGTCTAATTGCAAAACACTTATCCTTTTACGATTAATCGATTTAGACGGTTTCCCGGGAAACTTAGAACGACCCATAATAAATTTATTGTTTGCATTTGGCGCGTAATTTTTGTAATTCCTTTGCCTTGCGTTTATTTTGATTTTTGTTGCAATAAAAAATGTTTATTGTTTTTGTTTTTTTTTTTTTTGTATATTTTATACACTCGTTGTTTTTGTTGATGTCCTGCTTAAAGTCTGGCCATGTTGCTTGTTATTCTTTGGCAAACTAAACTCGTTTCTCTAGAGGACAATCAACAATTTTTCCATCTTTTTGTTATTTAAGAAAACTTTTTTCGGCTCTCATTTAAAACATTTTCTTACTCTCGCTTTACAACTCGCTCTTTCTCTTTGTCTTAACAATGTTTTGTGTTGTAATATTTTTCTCTTTAGGTTTCTTTAAGGAATGTGCAACAATGTAATTGCTTCTTTGAGCGTAAGTGTGTGTGTTTTATAAAGAAAGCAGCTGCTTTTTTTATTAAAATACCTTTTTAGTATGTAAAATAGTTTTTTCTCTTTGTTATTGGCTTGGTTATGTTGCGTGACCACCACCACCAATAACACCTTTTTACATTTTATTTGTTGTTGCTGTTTTTATGTTGCAGATGTTGTTGGTCCTTTAAAAATACAAGAAACACCTTTAAACTAATTGCCTGTACAGTTTAATTATTTCATTACAAATTAATTTGGCAGAAGGGCCAAAAAAACGTAAAAATAAATAAACCCAAGAGAGTGTGAAAGAAGAGTATACGAAATAAAAGAGAGTGCGTGTAATAAGTAGTGTTAACAACTTAGGGTTAAATAAAGCGCGTTTATTATTTAAATTGATTTTAACAAAAACGTTGGAGACCAGGAAGTGTTCATTTTAAAGTCCTTATGGCGGTGAAATATGATACAAATCGTTTGTTATAATTAAAAGATGGTTTAATTCAGGCATGGAAAATTTACATTCTGAAATAGTACTTACTTATAACAAAAATAGTACTAAGTACTGCTGACGAGACTATAGACTAGACTAAAGACTAAACTATAGAATAGACTATAGACTACACTATAGACTATAGTCTATAGACTAGACTATAGACTAAAATAGACTATACTATAGACTACTATGTGGACAACTTATCATAAGTTTATAAATTAGAAAAAGTACTGTATTTTTCGATATCAAAAAGTGCTAAAGTACTGAATTTGACTTTGCTAACATTGTAAGATCTAACGACCGTGTATACATAGTAGGGTGATCGATTATTCGACATTTTCCAAAAACCGGTTTTCGAATAGTTCGAATAGTTGACATTTCAAAAAAACCGGTTGATATTTTTCAAATTCAGAAAAAGCGGGTTAACCGGTTTTTCACTATAAATAAAAAAATATATTTTAATTTGAAAAAATAAAGTTTATGTTTAAATTTGATTGATAAAACATGGCCCGAAATGATTTTTAACAGTTTAACAGATTATAACTTTAGATCTAGTCGTCTGATTTACATTATTTCTTTAATATAAAAAATTAGGAAAATGGTGGGACACTTCTGTTAAACATAAGGTACTGTGTAATCCTAGCTTATTCTGCCCTATTTATGAAATTTTCATAGGCATTCCAACCAACACTTCCATAATATTTCAGCCCTAAACTAATTATTGTAATTGGAATATAATCTTAAGATTGATAAAGTTTTATCAAACAGTTATCAATTTTACAAATAAATTTTTTAATTTATTAGGAAAATCAGAAAAGTTTAACCAAAGGTGCTTTAGAAAATTATACCCTAGTTCCTCGACTCGAATATTTTTAAAATTTAGACGGGCTGTATTATTATTTACTTCAAAATTTCATTTAAATAATATTTGAATACAAAGCAAATGAAAGTATTCGAAGCCGGTTTTTAAAAAGTGAAAAAACCGGGTTATTCGATATTCGAAAAATCAACATTTAGAAAAAACCGACACTGGTAAAGCAGAAAAAACCATTTGAAAAATCGAGTCGATCACCTAATACATAGCTATAGTAACAACTTCTACATAAAAACACTATAATGAATCAATCGTAGTTGCTGTCTTGGTAAACCCGTCTATTATAAATCTCTTTAAAATATTAAAATCTTAACCTAAGCTTTTATTATCAACTTGTTGACAACACTTTTTATTTATTTGTAAACATACTGCTATTACAAACACTCTCTAATATTTTGCACGTGCTTTTTTATTGTTATCAAAAACATGTTTTATTTGGGGGAAGGGGGGCTTTCTCTCTTTTTTTTTCTTAGACTAAATATTACTCTTTTTTAGGCAAAACACTCTTTGGGTTATATTACTTGTTTTAATAAATTTTCTACTTACTGCAACTTGCTTTTATATTTTCTTCTTTAATGAAATTTATGTTGTTGTTATGTTGCTGTTTTTTCTGCACTGCTCTTGTTGTTGTTCTTACTAATATCAAGCTCTTTTGATTTGATTTTTTCTTTTAAGTGGTTTTTCAACTTTATTAACCCATTGGTTAGATAAGTTAAAAAGAGCACTTTAAAAACTACTGCCTTTTTTAACAATAAAGAGAAAAAACAACTTTTCCTTTGTATGTTGTTGTTGCTGCTGCTGCCTTGGTTATGCTTTCTTAAGGTAGTTTTGTAAAAAAAAAACAGTATTCTATGGATTTTTCACCTCTGTTTTAGATTTTCTTGCTTTTTTCTATTGACAGTTGTGTTTGTTTGTAGTGGTTGTTAGTAGTAAACTGTCTGCTGCATGTTGTGAGGTTTAGGTTTATGATGGGTTTTTCTTTTTAACCTTTTTTTTTTTTTTGTTTAAGTGGTGGTTTTCTTTTTGAATTTTTTCAGTTGCTGCGTATTTTAATGATTTTATGACGCGTTTTTTCTGTCGTTTTTAGTGTTGTTGTAGTTGTAACTTTATATTTTGCGCATTTGTTTTTTTCTCAATTGTTTTGCGTTTTAAGCAAATTTTCCTGCTTAAAAGTACAGACGTTTTTTAAGGGTTTTTTTAAAAAAAAGTTTACAACACAGCCAGTAAGTATAACAAATTACAACAAGACGTTGACAAAGTCGTCATGATGATGTTGTTGTTGTGGTAAAAGGAAGAAGAAGAAAAGAGAAAAAATATATTTATTAGTTTTTCAATTTTAGTTACGTCTTTTCTTAATTCAAACAAATTTTGTAAGAATTTTTTTTCTATTTTGTTTACAATTATCAAGTGAGTAATGAAGCAAAGCTGTGCAGTAGTTGTATTTGTTATTACTGGTGGAGGATGAGAGAGTGAGTGAGTGAGTAAGAGTGTGATGATGTTGATAAAATGTGTGTGCGTTTGTGTGGAGAAGTGATGTGAGAAGATGATGATGTGTGATGGGATAGAGAGATAAATAGTAATAAAAATGTTGCTGGATGTAGAAAAGATGTTGAGTAGTAAGTGGAAAGAGGCAAGATGATTTGTTTTTGTAGGTTTAGTTGTTGCTATTGAGATTTTAAAGCGCAATTTCTGAATAACAATAAATAATATACAAAAATATAGGGGGAGTAATAGGATAAACTTAAAAACTAAAAGAAAATTCTTTTTTTTATAACAATAATAATGATCATTTAAGTTAATAATGATATTGTATGTTAATTTATAATGATAATAATGATGTTGAAGTTATTATGTGTATGTGTGTGCCTTAATATTATGACTAAGCATGTAGCAATTTTTATTGTGTGTCTTTTTTTTTTTTTTTGTTCCTGTTTCTCAAGTTTTTTGTGGGGGAACAATTTTGGGGTGGTTAAGTTTTAAAAAGTAAAAACAAATAGAAAGAAAAAATAAAATAATAAATTGTGTCTTAAAATCTGAAGGGGAGAGGAGTGGGTATTATAAGAAAGACATGCAGAAAACTTGTTTTTTGTTTTTTGTCATTTCTTGTTGTTCAGGGGGAGTGTGAAACAAATAGCAAAATGTTGACGTTCAACTTAAACTCGCCACATGTGTTAGTTTGTTGAAATGAAAAAAAAAATTAAAGAAAACTACATTTAATGAAAGGGATGGGAAAAGCAATGTTTTCTTAAATTGTTTATAGATAAATATTAATTGCACTCAAGTGTTGATTCTATACAAGACTATAGGTATAGTCTGGACTATAGTAGTTTGGACTATAGACAAGACTATTATAGTCTGGATAATAGACAAGACTATTATTTTACTATAGACTATAGTCGGGACAGTAGACAAGACTATAGTCGGGAAAATAGACAAGACAATAGTCTGGACTAGACCAGACAATGGTGTGGACTATAGACAAGGCTATAGACAAGACTATAGTCTGGACTATAGACAAGACTATAGTCTGGACTATAGACAAGACTATAGTCTGGACTATAGACAAGACTATAGTCTGGACTATAGACAAGACTATAGTCTGGACTATAGACAAGACTATAGTCTGGACTATAGACAAGACTATAGTCTGGACTATAGACAAGACTATAGTCTGGACTATAGACAAGACTATAGTCTGGACTATAGACAAGATTATAGTCTGGACTATAGACAAAACTATAGTCTGAACTATAGACTAGACAATAGTCTGGACTATAGACAAGGCTATAGTCTGGATTATAGACAAGACTATAGTATGTCCACTATATAAACAAGACTATATACTCTACTATAGACTATAGTCGGCACTGTAGACAAGACTATAGACTAGCAAATAATCTGGACTATAAACTAGCCAATAGTCTTAATTATAGACCAATATATATAGTATGAACTATAGAGAAGTCCATTTCTCTTTTTTGCAAAAAAAAAACGGCAACCAGGATTATGTACACATTTACAAATCTGGCAAGGCTGTATAAAAGCATGTTTTAATTTAATACAGCATAATAAAGTGAATGTAACTAAAGAAAACTAAAAAAAAAAACTAACCCAACTGAAAGAGTGAGAGAGCAGGAAAACTTAATTTTTTTCATTTCAAAATCAAAAAGGGGGACCTTTAAACAAGGAAATTAACCAGAGTATGAGAGAAATATACAAAAAGGTAAACAAAAGGAGTATCAAACCAAAAACACAGGGAGCCTGTTTAAAAGTATTAGTTAATCTGAGATGGGAGTAAGGGGGACAATGTATGTTGGTATGAGTATTAATATAAGCAAATAAAGTAAACATAAGCATGCATGTTTAAGGTAAATAATAAGAGTAAGAGAAGAAAAAAAAATGAAATAAAAATAATAGGTATGTAATAAGAAAAAAATGTATGTAATGTTTTTATAACATGTTTTGTTGCATGTTGTTGTTGTTGTTGCTTGATAATAATGACGATGTTGATGTTGTTAAAGCTTGTTAATCTTGTCAACTGTACGCGATTTGTTTCAATTTTATTTTGTTTTTCTTGTTGTTGTTATTATTTTTGCTCTTTTGTTGTTATAAAGAAAATTTGTTTGTTGTTGTTGTACTTAACCATGTTTGGTATGGTTTAGTTTTGGCTTAAATGTTATTGTAAATTGAAAAATCAAGTGAGAGAGCGACTAGATTATTACTACAAGACATTTTGATAAAGAAAAGGAAAAATTTTTGTTGCTGTTAATTTTATGGTGATTGAGTGAGTGTGTGTGTGTAAACATGTGTGGTTTTCTTTTGTTTGTTGTAGATTTTTGTTATTAAATGGTTTCTGGTGGCGTATAAGTGTTGGGACAAATTTCATTTAAATTTTAACTAGTAAAATGTACACAAAGAGTAAAAAAAGTATGAAATTAAGTTTTATGAGAAAATTATTCAGTTTTTTATATAGAAAATATTTATATAGAAAAAGTTTGTATGTGAAAACTATTCAGTATAACAGTTTGTTTTAAAGAAAATCTTCATTATGACAGTTTTGTGAAAAACTATTCAATATAACAGTTTTTGCAAAGAAACTTTTAAGTATAACTGTTTCATGTAAAAACTATTATCTTTTCTTTGAAAATGATTTAGTATAAATGATTTAGTATAAGTTTTTTCTATAGAAAATGTTGAGTAAAACTGTTTTTTTTTCTGTGAAAACTTTTTGTTATAACATTTTTTTATAGAAAACTTTCAATATAACAGTATTTTCTTTCAAAATATTTACAATAAAACAGTTTTTCTTTAAGAACATTTTGGTAAATTAAGTACATACTTTTAAAGAATATTTCCAGTATAACAGTTTCTTTGAAATATTTCTATTCAAGTCTTTCTTTCAATGTTCTTTTTCTTAAAGTTTTCATACTTTTAAACCACTGCCTCAAGACTCAATTGTTAAACAAACAAGCCATTAAAACAGAAAAAATTAATAACAAAATAAGACTGAAAGAAAAAACACCGACTAGGTAAATAAATATCTAACGAAAAGCGTGAAAACATTTTACAAAAACGACTTAAACACTGAAAAGTAAATTGAGTATGAGATGATTGATTAAAAATGTGGCTAAAGCGCAGCGCAAAAAAAAAGAATCACCAACACACATGCAAAAGTTATACACACTCACAGACAAAAGATCGAATAACACAGACAGACGAAGGCGAGTAAAACCCAGTAGGTCTGGGAGAACAGAACAGGTTTAAAAATGTTATTAAATAAAAGTTAAATATTAAAAAATTATTAAATTAATTACATTGTAGATTATTTAGTTACATTAGAGTGACCATAGTCTACACTCTAGATTACCTGTGTAGTGTAAAGTAAACAATTAACTACTTTTTCATTAAAAAATTCCATTTGAAATTCTTTTTGTTTTCCTTTAAATCTACTGGTAAATCAGGGATTTACAAAATTTTATTGACTTGAACTCGAGTGACTGACTGCGGCGAGTGACTGGCATTTTGAAGTGTAAAAGCAAATTAAGATAAAAAAATTATAAGAAATAGAAAATAGATGTAAAATAAATTAAATAAATAAAACCAACAAGAATGTGAGTCTTTCAATTAAATGACGACGCAAAGTTTAAAATTGATCCATTGGTTGGTTGGTCGGTTGACTGAATGTCTGTCTATATCTATGTATATGAGACTTTATTGCTGTTTATGTTGAATGACAATTAACCCAAATGTAAACGTGTTTATAACGAGGTAATTTGTGTATTTATTTGCTTTTATTTCGTTTCTGTATAAACAGAAAGAAGCTTGGGAAAATTGTTTAAAGTGATTAAAATGCCTATAAGCTATTAAAAAAAGGCTAGAAATTCAAAATAATAATAATAATGAATTTAGGGGGATTATTTTTTAATTTTATAGTTTTGGGCTAAGATGTTAATGAGGTTGTATTGACAAATTTAGCCATTTCTGCTTATAAAACTTTTTTCTTTGGAATATTTTCAAAAAACCATTTTTAGCTATTAGAAACTTTCAGTATAACAGTTAATCCTTTAAAAATGTTTAATGTAAAAGTTGTTTATATAAACTTTTCATTATAACATTTTTTCTGTGAAAATTATTCAGTATAACAGTTTTTTCTTTGAAAACTATTCCGTATAACAATTTTTTATGTGAAAACTTCTTTAGTATAATAGTTTTGAAAAACATCCAGTATAACAGTTTTGTTTCCTGTAATAGTTTTCCAGTATAACAGTTTTTATGTAAAAACTATTCAGTTTAAAGAAATTTTTCAATATAACAGTTTTTTCTTTGAAAATAGTAAGTATGACAGTTTTTTTATTAAATTTTTTTATTTTTCATGTAAAAACTAGTTTTTAATATAGAGTATTTTCTCTTGAGAATTTTCAGTATAACAGTTTTTTGTTGAGAAAATTGTAAGTATGACAGTTTTTCTATACAAAATGGTTAATATAAAAGTTTTTCTCTGTAAAAAATATTCAGTATAACAGTTTTTCCATAGAAAATGTCCTGCATAGCAGTTTTTTTTTTTATAAGATTTTCAGTATAACAGTTTTCTTAGACAAAATTATTTAGTATAACATTTTTTCTTGTTGAAAATATTCAGTATAACAGATTTTCCCCCAAAAA